TACTGTCAAATGGCAAAAAAAAATTAAAATAATAAATAAATAAAGCAATTCATGTGTAAAAACTGCGAGAATTATGAATGTATTGAAAATATTATTGCATTCACCAAAAATAAATCAATCATACATTTTGTTCAGTGTATTTGTTACACCAGACAACACACAAAACGTGGCCCAATTCGCTCTATGAAGCAAAATGAAAACATTTTAACTAATGACAAACAATTACTTAAACAACGAGTCGAACGAGTGGCCTAGCACACGACGACAGCGAAAGGTAATTAAAACTACTCCACACACAGATACACACCTACATACCACGCACGATACGTGTGTGTTAGTATTTGTGGGTGTTCAAGCGAAAAGTTGCCGACTCAAAAATCGTTTGTCGTGTGCGAATGGCTGCTGTTGTTTGCAGGCTGTCTGTTACCTGGCACAGTTAATGAGTAGCGTTTTCATTTTTAATGAGACTCACCCACCCACACACACACATATACACACACACACACGTACACATGAGGAGCGACTGGAGGTGTAATAAAAAGCTTATCGCTGCCCCCTTATAGGCGGCCGTGTGCGACGTTTGATAGACATAATTAAATGATTTTTTATGTGCTTAATTGCTGTATCTTGCGCCGACATCGGCCTTATTAAAACAAAAAACAATTAAGTGGCCCTTTTCTACGACCTGCAAATGACTTGTCAAATGAGCGACAGGCGCTGGCGCTTCGGATTTTCCGGATTCCTGATAAGGATAACGATAACATACATGTCATGTGTGCCAGAGAGTTTTCTTGGAACTGGGTTGGGCTGCCAAAAGGGATGAGCTGACTGGATAGAGTTTAAATTGGGTGTGGGTAGTAACTAATATATCTAATATTATTTAAAGAGAACAGATTATTAAAAAAAAATTAATTCTCAATAAATAAAATTACTAATCCAGACCTAGAAACCGCATATGTTAAAACTATCTATAAGTTCGCTATCACTATTATCAATTTATTATACCATGAAATACTCATGAGGATGATATGAGTAAGCTTTGTCTAAGCTTTATGACCTGAATGTTTACTCACTTTTGGAGGGTGTCTACAAAAAATATGGGCATTTATGTAATTTGTCATGAAAATTCCTTGCATCATAATGTTATGTAATGCTAGAAAATAAAAGCTTATGGCACATCATTTTAAATAAGATAATTAAAATATGAACTGAAATAACTATAAAATGTTGCTGAAATACAAATATTATTTGATAAAAAAAAAACTTAATATTTATTTATTCATAATAAATTAGTATTTTAAAAATCATTTAGCAGTCATGCATAAAAATGAAATTATTATACGAATAAATGAATAGCAATAATTCATTTTGCCAAAAATCTCAAATAAGCGTTTTTTCCATCTGCAAAATTTTAGTTACTTCAGTTTATAATTCTCCAAAATAAGCGTAAATAATGTGCCATACAGAGATTATTAATTACGCTCAACAAATAGTTTGTATTAAATATTAAAATATGTATAAAATTCATATTTAAGCCACAAATTCATTTGTAATTATGAATAAATGTAAAATATTTATATATAAGCCAATAAATGCTTCAAAAATCATTTGTTTTCTAGTGCTTGTTTGCAATGTAAGCAGATGTGTAATAAATATTTGCTATACATATTTTATGGACAACAATACATAAAATATAAATTAGTGCCATTTTACACAGAAATTCAACAAATGCAACAGGTTGCACTCAATTAGACGAAATTCCTAAGAGAAGGCACTAAAAATAATTAAAACAAAATGCGGTCATGCACATTTTAGCCATAATTATAAACTAAATATTCATTGAACTATAATTGACAATAAAAATGGAATACTTTTCTGGGAAAACTCTTCACATTTCAGCTTTAAGCATTTCTAAATTGAATCGAGTACAGGCCCTGGGAACGTGCGCAGCTGCTCGAGCTCCATGGCTATGGAGTGTGAGTTATAAATTTAAAAGTGGCAACAAGAGCTGAATGCAGGCTAAAATTAATTATTGAAGCAACAAGGACTATGACACACTATGGCTTGAAAGCCCTCGAAACCAGAAACCAGAAAAGGAACTAAATCAATAAGAGACAAATTCAGAAATTAAATTTTAGTAATTGAACTAATGCAATGGGATTGTTGGCCATGTTGTGTGTGCTCTCCCACTGGTTGGCCCATAAAGTAAATACAATAAGCCATTAAAAATCAAGTAATACAAACAGCCAGCTGGGGCCAACAGGTTGTTAGTTTTGGGCTTCGATTACATATTTTACGCACGCACTCAAATCACTTTTCATTTTTATTTTCATTTTCAGTTTCAGTTTCATTTTGTTTTTGCTTTTGTTTTTTAATTATAATTTCATTTAAGCATTTGTTGTTATTGTTTCGAGTATTGGCATAGCCATTGATTATTATTATTATTATTACCGTTATGTCGTCCGTTGCGTTTAATTAAAAACGTGACAATTTTACCTGTGGCCAATGCAATACATATTTCATCACGCATACGCCATGTGCGTCGTTCCACATCGTACCTGCGGTCGCGTCACAGGTTGCCCGTTTTTTTCTTTTTAAATAATTCAAAGCCTGTTTACATTGTGTGCATCTCGTTTGCATTACAATTCACCTGCGCTGTCTGCCTATTTAATTAACTTTTTATACCATGCGGCTCAATCATATTAAATCACTGAACTGTTGGCATGCCATTGCAGCAAGGATTATCTAATGAGAACGACTGGCATTTCATGTCAGTTTAAGCAATTCAAAATTATACTGCTAATTCTCGTCGTGGTTAATTGGAAAACAATGAAATTTATTTAATAGTCCCAGAGTACAAAATTCAATCATAATTAAACCATATCATATCATATCATGTTATGCTTGAAGTGCGCATCAGTATTCATCTACCTATAGGACTTGATGAACCAAGCTATTCAATAGTGTTCACACTAGCTACTATATTTTCATATTTTCAAAAATGATCAGCCAATTAACCTATTTCCCTATGGTACGGCCATACCCCAACAAATTGTACCCCAATTTTGGGCTATATAAGAATTCCGATTAACACTTAATATGAAAAAGAGTTAACCTCTTTATTCTTATCGTAAATTCCATCTTCCTGCATGCACAATAACATTATACTATTTCATATGCCAAATTACATTTGTATGTGTGTGTGCCCGAAAATTGCAAACGGTATCTTGATGAATTAGTTCATTACTTTAATATTAATAAAAACAGCTGCCGAAAATCAGCTTATTTAATTGAAACGTATGAAGGAAGTAGCTGAAGGAAAATATCACGGTTAAATCTGGGCAAGTCGACTTTGATATATTAACATAGTGAAATTTTCCTTACGGAACACATTGAACGACCCAGGACACGCACACTCAGCATTCATCGTTTGAAAGAAATGAGCGTGATCCCAAGTGTAGAAAATCGGGTACAGTACGAGCTGAAGCCGAGATATTTTCGGAACAGCTCTTTCGCGAGTGAACAATTGATCTAACGGAGCCGAGCGTTTTGAGAGAGGCACGACAAAATTATTTTATGCGACATGCAACGAGCGTGTTTAGGAATGACTGCAATCTACAGCACAAAATAATTATACTCTCTCAAGAAAATCTTGAAAATGCTGAATGCCGAACTGAAAGAAATTTGCAATTCTCTGCTTGCATTCGATAATATCCAAAACATTTTCAGACAAATTTGTGTTTAATGCATATCAACACGGTCACTTATACATGTATATATTATCAACTTTATATTAGACTCACCGTAAATAGTGGTAATTGTCGTCGACTCCTGTTGCAATGGCTCAACGGTTGTGTAGAGACGTTTGCGTTTTATATATATATATTTGTTGGAAATGAAAATGTAAGCAAATAGGTGTGAATGTCAGCTGATTGAACAGCATGGGCTACTTGGTTAGCCATGTACATTTATATTTCTAAATTGACAATTGCTTATAGAGTTCTTAGATATGTATGTATAGCTTCATGTAACATTATCTTGCCTTGAGTAATCGATGCATTGCCAATTAGATTGAAGATTTTTAAGCATTAGACTACTTCGGGTATCCCACAGTTAATTAAGCAATCAAACTTCAAGTACAAGAGTCGTGACAGAGTTCTTGAAGAGTCATTCAATCAGCATGCCTCATCTCACAGACCGCAAGCACAAAAATCTCTGCGCATTGGCACCTCAGCGAAAAACGAACTGGAGTCAGACAACTTCACTTCAGTCAGGCCACAAACAAATCAGTTAAGTGCCTCTTTCCAAAATAAAAAAGAAGAAGGCAGGAAGAACGAGATGAAGCAGGGAGACGCGATAACTTTGGCCAAGGTAAGTCAATTTACCTAATTGACTTATGGCCAAGCAAAAACTTTGACAGTTGCAGCTTGTTTCTGCGTGAAGATTTGAATTTGGTAGCAGATGATGCCGTGCGAACGAGCAGAGAGATAATAATATTAGTTGGGTAACAGACAAATTCACAGATACAGCTACAGTTGAAGATAGAGATACGGAAATAGATATAGCGACTGATGGAACTTATTCAAGCCAGAAATTAAGTTAATCTCTTGAGTGAATGAGAGGCATTGTTCATCATCGCCAAATTTAATTACAAATATTTCACTTTCTTCTAAGAAGATTTGATTGCATTAATTCAACCTCTTTTAATTTAATATTATGATAATTTTCACGAAAATTATTGAGAGCATAAGAGTGAGTAAATGAGCAGAGATACAGACTCAGATATTGATCCAAATTAAGTAACTCATAACTAGTTAAGTAAAACACAAAAATGAGAGAATAAATAAACTGCCACAACAACAATAATAATATCAAACATTCATTTATGTAATTAGAAATCTACAATTTTTTTATACTTCTTCACTGGAATGATTTTACAAAATAACAGTAAAATTAATTTCAATATGCTTAAAATCGATGTTAAAACAAAAAACAAAAAAAAAAATGAAAGCATAAAATACCTTTATTGTTTAGTTTTTATTAAACATACACTTCGCGTCATCAGGTTAGCGCCCCCCCTTACACTCATTTTCTTTTACGTTTTTCTCTTTGCCTATTGCACGCAACTTCTTGGTTTTTTTTTTATTTCATTATCATCATATGAGATGTCTCTCATACCAAAAAAAAGCGCGAGTGAAAACCCGTTATGTTTTATTTTCTATTCTTTTCTATTTTCGCAAAAAATGTGTGCACTTATTTTGCGTCATCAGATTAGCGCCCCCAAATGCAATTGTAATTATCTTGCTTATTTTGGCAATTACACTCACCAAATTTTTTGTGAAGCTCAAAGNGAGTCCGGAAAGCATTATAGTGCAAAGACAGAGTTAATCGAAGGTACTGAACACGCTTGGCCAACCATATCCTTGAATAATATTGAACAACTTTATAATTCCACTCCTAATCGAATTTTTGAAGTAATTTCAAACAAAAAACGGCACTACGCACTACTAATATTACTTAAAAATAATAATAGCTTAAAATACGGTGTTATTTTTGGTCATTAACTTAAATAAATTGAATTTAGCGCAGGGGGCGCTAATCTGATGACCAAATTTTTGTTACATGTTTTTTGTACATTTTACAAAAAAAAATTATTTAAAAATAATCCTTATTGTTACAGTAGCCATTCTTTTTGTATTTTAAAGATAAATAAATGGAGTATAATGTAAAAAAATTTYAAAGATGGAGCTCTGATAGTTTAGATTTTATTTAGCTTTGAGGTTGAGTGTAAAGGGGGGCGCTAACCTGATGACGCGCAGTGTATATGCAGCTTGTAAAATAAATAAATATATATATATTTATACCAAGAGTGAAGAGTCTTTGATCTCAATATTTTCGATTCAACTATTGCCAGCAACCACAAATTATTTCAAATCAAAGCCGAAACAATTTCAAATACATCTGATTATTATTATGCTCGGCACGCCGTGCTCAGCCAAACAGCTCAATCATAATGGTAATAAAACTGTAATAGAATCGCTGTCAAAAGCGTTATGAACTTTTAATGGTTCAACAAACTTGCAGCCACTAAAACTTTAAAGCGGCAACAAACTGAACAGAGGCAACAACAACAGCGACAACAACAAAAACAACGACAGCAACGACAACAACTTTGCAAAGCTTGTTAAATAAACTTGTTTCTGAGCCAATGTCGCTCACATGTTTGTTGCACATTTCCGCTTACGTGAATATATTAATTACCAAAATTTCATAGCCCAAACAAGAGGGCGACAGACAGAGAGAGAAAGAAACAGAAAGAGAGAGAAAAGGAGTCAGATGAGAGACAGATCTAGTCGGCAATTCAATTAGTGGGCTACTTGCATTTATCCCATTTTAATGCTGCATACYTCCACACACACACACACATACATCTATAGTCAGGCTGTCGTCATGGCAACGAGTCGAGCAGGACTCGAAGGACTCGTAGGACTTGAATGAACTCGTGACTTATGCACTGACGCAACCAATTATGGCTTGGGGGCAAACTGTAACTGCAACCGTCTCGCCCGCTATCTTTACTGCACGAACACATACGAGTACCTATATCTATATATCTATGCGTGTTTGGGTAGCTTACGCTACTTCCATTTTCGTCTGCATCTAAACCTATTTTTGGTTTCAGCGCTGCTCAAAAACTATGTCAAATGGAATTTATGCGATGCGACCCGAAGGCAAGGCAATGAAAATACACACACACATTCACACTCACTAGCTCACTCACACACACACGTGCTCCACAGACCTTTTGGCTTCACACGTGCTGTCTATATTCTGTCTCTTTTGCTCCCCCGCAACGGCTTTGATTGACTTTCCGTTGCATACTTTATGGCGTCGCCTGCATTGAGACGCGCCCGTTGACGGCTATATTTCATCAAGGATTGTTTTTGCAAAAGTTTCTTAATTAAATATGACAGAGATTTTTGGCCAACTAATTGAATTTGCCAAGTTAACGCGGCGACTGATGCAGAAAGAGAGTGGAGAGGGAGTCAGAGAGAAATTTCGCTAAGACTTGTTGCTAAGAGGCAAACTTCTCAGTGTAGCTTTAACATACCGTGGCTGAAACTAAGAAAAGAGCAACGGCATATGTCATAAGATACATAACACATAAAATCAGAAACTCATAGGTAAGCGTAGCATGTTCGAAATCGTGATTCATATTTTAGCGAACCTTGAAAAGATGTTTGTGAACAGATAGAATCATATTTGATATGTGATATTGTAAAAGTATGTTGATTGGATAACTGCTACTTACAAAAACTGCATATTATTTTCTATAATACTCGCCCACGAAGTGAACATAGTATATGGGTTTTGTGCAATATCTGGATGTCTATCTGCTTAGCAGTCTATTGAAGCTGAAGCTTTTAAATTCGTATAATAATGTGAATCCGTTTTTCATATACCCACTATGGAAGGGACAAATCGCTAAATCTGGTCATAACGACACTTAAGGGACCGTCGTTTAAAAAATCTATATAAAACTATTAATATTATTT